CAGAATGCGGTGGTATTTTGAAACCATGGGCCAGCATTGAAAATGTACCTAAAATATTGATCATCATTAATTATTTAGGACCAAACAGCAACTGAGGAACATTTTTAAGTATTTTATTCCACAGTTTTCCGAATTTGCCCTGAGTGCAATGATGAGTTGCTAAGCTGAATATTTTACATCCTTTTTCAGGTTTTGAGGTGATTTGCATGCACACAGCCATCTGAAGGTCAGGTGACCCACAGAGAGAGGAGGGGAGGAGAGCGCTCAGGTTTCTACCCAGGTCAGGATGGCAACCTGATTTTTTTATTTGAACAGAATGGGAGTGGAGTTAATATATCCTCAATTATATCTAAAATAACTAAACTATTCTTCTGAGATTTTTTTCTGTAAAAAAAATCTCAAACAACCAACCGTCTAATGTTGTCACCTTCAGGAACTCAGGTCAGATGACGCTGCAGATAAAAGCTAACTCTCACACACACACACACACACACACGCTAAATCTACTATAGGATTACCAAGGCCTGTTTATGCAACTGTAATCCTCGGCTATTTGCAGCAAGAAGGAAGTGATGACACATCACAGTTTGATAGAGTTTTCTCCTCCGGCTACACCTCTTTTTCTTACAGGAGCATTTATCATTTTTATTCACATGTGCTTAGTCAACACAATTTCTTACTTTTCTTTCCATTTACTTCTTTGTAAAAAAGCAGAATCCATTTGATGTTTTTTCAAAGAAGCCAGCATAAATGTTGTCAAACTGAAGTTACTTTATCTGTAAACCCTGCAGAAAAAACAAAACTATTTGAAAAATGACTTATCAGGCCTTGCTATAATATGGTTGCATACTCCAACTTTCCCATCTGTCTGAGATTTATGTCCAAGATATATCTCCTAAATGCACAAAGGAACAAAACTGCAGATCTTCGCTGCCAGCAGCTGTTGGAACTGTACAACCAGTACCGTTCCCAACAAACAGATTATCTGTTTACATTCCTGTTGTTCTTCACACAGATCTCCATTTTCCTTCATATATCCTGTTTTATTAACAAATATAAAAGTACACTCAATCTGTCCGGTGCAACTGAATTAAATGCACCTTTTCATTTAGGATCTAGTTTTACTATTTATTAATTTATTTATTAACTATTTATTATTTCAGTTTTATTTTTGGTAGCTCCTACAATTTTCTTTTTTAAACTTGTATTAAAATTGAATTAAATGTTTTTACTTTGTGTTTCTGTTGATTTATTTCTGATCCACTGAAGCTTTTCCAATGTGGAACAAATAATGGAGTTTTTTTTTTGTCATAAATTATATTTTTAGGTAAGATTAAATATTGTCCAGTGGTTCAGCAACAAACTCTGTGATCTCTTAATAAATATTCATAAAAGGACAAAATAGTAAAACAATGTTTAGATGTGTACAGCAACATGGGGCATTTATCAGGATATTAAATCAGTTAAACTTAACTGAGTCACATTTTAATGGTTTGTACATCCAGATTTGTCACATAAAAACTAAACAAACTAAAGAGAAATAGTAGCAGTCCCAGAGTGTTAAAGAGATATTTAAGGACAAAGTAAATATAAAATCATCATTGCCACATAAGCTTATATTACGTTAGTGATGATATATAAACAAACTGACTTAGTTTGCAATTCAAATTCTTGTGTGTGTTTGTATAGATGAATGCACTGACCTAAACTAGCCTATAAACTTAAATTACAGTCAAAATTATAACTAAAGAGAAAATAAAAGCATAGGAACAAAAAAAACATAACTCAAACGTCAATTACAAAAACAAATAAAAGTAGAAACTGAGATTTTCTGCTTTTCGGCTATTCATTTATTGTTTGTGTAAGCTTGCATTTTCACATGCAGCTATGTGATTTCCTTCAAACTGCAGGGTAAATCTTCTCCTTCCTCACATTCTTGTGGAAGACACAATGCCCACGAGTCGGATTCCTTACATTATTTTATCACTGTCAGTCCTCTAGTCCGACTCAAGGTCAATCAAACGATTCGTTTTTAATTCCTCACAAAGCTAGAATTCCGACACACAACTCTAAACTCGGTGGACATTTTCATAAAACCACAGAACTGGGTGGACGCAAATTCCAGATAGAAAATACTGACTGGAAAAACGAAGGGGGAAACAGGAAGATCAGCTCTAAATGCAGTCCACTTGTAGCCAGGAGTAAAAAAAACGTGCCTACACCCAAATTGGGTATGCTGAGAACTCCCTCGTACCCTAAAAATCGCTCAAACACACGAGCCCGACTGCTGCTGCAGCCATAACAAGCCGAGCATTCATGCCCACAGATGCAAAGCCAGTAAACATCTAAGAGCTCAGTAAAGCAGCGATGAAAAGCACTGATACACTGCTGTTTCAGTCTACCCACATGGATCTGCATCCAAAAAATGCAGGGATTCTTTTGCTTAACAAAGCAGGTTTCTGACAACGAGCACGAACCCAAAGTAAAGTCAATGACACAGTCACATTAGGAAAAAATAAAGAGAAACAGAGATGCACCAGTCAGTCAGTCAGGGATTGAATTGGACAACTCTTTCTCGAGTGGCAAGTCAAGAATTGAAAAATCTGATTATTTTCATTATTAGTAATTAAATGCACCAAAAATTGAACTCTCATCATTTTCAGGAAATCAATGCATCAAACAGCACAAGCTTTGATGCATTTTTGAGATTAATAAAATAATAAAAAAAGATTAGGTATGTATGATATGATGCACTCATCAGGATTATCTTTGTTTTACGTCACTCTACAATGCATAAAACAATTTTAAACACATTTTATTATAGATTTGGGATGCATCAATCGCAGTTTTCTGACAAATCGCTGATTACGACCTTGAAAAAGCTTGACCTGTCGATTCCAATTTTGATCTATATCATTTTTTTTTTGTCTGAAATGTACACTGTAAACGTAAGAGATGGCTTGGCGGGCTGGTCTGTCAGTCAAGCCTCCTTCACAGCAGAGCGGAAGAGGACAGTGGCTGATTGTTAGATCTTTGTTGAGGTAGATAAGATCGGCTTCATATGCAACTATCTGCCAATCAAGGACCTCCCTAAATTAGTTCAATCAGCTGGCACATAAATCAGATTGGAGATGCAGAATGTAATGATACCAACATCAGTATCGGCCAATTTTTCTGAACATCTTCATGCTGTTTGCTTCTGGAGGGGAAGTGGAGGAGGTTGGACCAGCAGTGTTTGTTCATTACATGACAAAGATGGTGATGCGGCAAAAAATTATGGGAAGTTTAACTGAAGCAGCGGTGTGGCTGTATTTTCTCAGGTGTCTAAAACTTTGTGAAATATGTATGATATCAGAAAATATTGGTTATCAGCCACAGCAGAAATATTAAAATCAGATATCAGCCCAAATTTTCATTTTGGTGCATCCCTACAGACCAGAGAAAACTTAAAAGTCCATCATCAGTAAATCAAAGTTCAAGCAAAAGCATGATCTCAAATAAACAGCAAAGCACCAATTGATCAGAGACAATAATCGACTATTTTCTTCTTGTTTGGCTCCGATTAGTGATCTGAGGCCCAACACTGAAAAATATTAACCTTTTGTTGCATTTATAACATCCAGACATTTTTGGTTCCCGAATGCACCAAGTACTTGGATGCACTTTTGTCAAGTTTAATAAAAGTAACAGAGCAGCTAAACATTGCATTTAGAAACTTTTATTTTTCTAAATGCAGAACATTTAATACCCTAGGTGTTATATTCTTTAAGGGGGAAAAGAGCAAAAAGAAAAAGAAAATGGACTGTTAGTCAGCTCTAAAGCTCCTGTTCATCAAAACTAGAATCTTTAGGAACAACCACAATTTTGCTGTTCCACCAACCACACATTGATGCATTTCTTGGCTTTAAATAAAGTGTCAACCAAATTATTCCCAAATTACAAGCGCACATTTTAAATAAATAAATAACCATCTCAAAGACAGAACCGATATCAGTTTCTGTCAGGAAAAGTCAGATAAACAACAATCAATCAAATAGCCTGCTAGTTATTGGGCAGAAAACAACCCAGAATCAGAAGGTCAGACCTCATTAAAACAGATTTGAACTGATTTTTAATGCAGAGCGGAAAAGAACCCAGCTCTACATTTAAACTCTCCAATGAGAGACTGACTCTCCAGCTTTTCTACTGATATTCAGGTCAGCCATTGTTGATGTTATCCACCCTTAAGAGTGGAGGGGGTTATGCCATATGCCAACAAAACAGACACAACTGGCCAGCAACATATAGGAGCATGAAGGAGGGGGAATCATGCAGCATAAATACTTTCAAGCAGGAAGCTGCAATTCTGCTGATTTACCATGTGCCTACTGGTTTGTAGCAATAGGACATGGCACTGAACCACTCAGCTTGTCAAAACTTTAAAAATGAGCTGAAATTATCAATTATTTCCTACTGACAGGATTGTTAAAGGAAAAAAAATAGATAAACCTAGTTTGGTATTTACAAGTAGTTAGCTAGCTTCGTCTGAAATTCTTATGTCAGTAAATCCATGGCACATTGTTATCCAAAATAAATAGCGCAACAACTAAATCATTTATAAAACAAAGTAAAAAATAAACTAAAACTCCAATCCAGTCGTTATATGTCATCCGGCTGCTTCAAACTACAAACATTAAGTTGTATCCGTGGCTAACATTAATTACAGGAACTTTTACGAAGTGGCATTAGTTAGCCTAGCTTTTATAAAGTTAATAACTTCAATCAGAAGGGTGTTTTTGTCAAACCAACGTTTAGCTCTAGGTAGAGAAGTTGCAGATTTGTCTGCGTCCATTGTAAGCAGGTGACCGAACTGAGAGCTAACGTTTACTAGCCGGGGAAGCTTGCCGCTCAAACAGCCCGGTAAACGGCCGCGGCTGTCCGGAAACATCGCAAACTCATTACCACGACGAACGGCGCAAACAGGTCTAACAACAACAAGCTAATGTTTTATTTTCGCTTACCCATCTGGGCTCTCAAGCCTTTGAGCGTCGTAGCACTCTCCGCCATTTCTATGAAGTTTTCCTTCTCTGTTTTTTTTTTCTACACCAGGGGCGCGCGACACATCGCAGCCGGTTGGACTCGGACACCGCGGGGACGTGGACATCAAAGACGGTGAAGGGGAGGCCTCACTCTGACCAATTTACGGGAAAACCATTAAACGAAACATGGGCCGAACTTTTCCTAATGTGCTTCCATGTGAATTTATTTCATGGACTGCAGTCATTGACCACAAATCGAAGTTTATTTCAAAACGGATATAATATGCTAAATAATATGCAATTTTTATTTAAATAAATAAACAAAGATTAAAAATTAAAGTGAAATAAAAATATTTCTATATTGTATATTATGTTTTTTGGTACTATTATATTTTTCTATTTTATAATATTATAGTATTTGTATTATTATCAGTTTTGTTATGTACTTTTTGATTTTATAGCGAGTCTGCGGTTCTTCTCTTAAGCATTTCATTCCATTGTTGACTTTGTGTTAATCTGCATATAATAAATAAACCAATCTGATCTGATTATTATTATTCCAATAATTATTGTTATTTGAAACGTGCTCTTTTCACCGTTTTTTCATTAACTGTGCGCGTTTAAGAAGCCTGTTGTACTACATCTGTATAATAAACGATCACGCACAAAGAAGGTAAGACGAGAAACAACGGTGGCTACGTCTAATTAAAGAAGCGCCCTCTAGCGTTCACATAGGTACTTGTTACAGGCTTCAAAAAACATGGGCCGAGTTTGATTTATTGTAATAAATCAAACTAATTGTCTCTTTTATTGTCACAAAATACTATTGCAAAGACAAATTCTTATTGTGGTTATTGTATAATTTATAATACATATATATATTTTTACAAATTTTACACAGAAAGAATAAAATGTAGGACATTTTCACTTGAATTGCCTATAAAGTACGTTTGATATAATTTAAAAAAGAATGTGATGGCTTAAAGCCTTACCAGTTTTGATGTGTTGGAGAATCTCTTAGACCCAGAGATGATCAATTCACAAACATCTCCCAGTAAGTGGATAAGAAAAATGTTCTCAGAGCTCAAGTTCCTGTCTTTTACCATGAACACTGTATCCTCTGTCAGGCTTTGTCTCACATGCTTTTGCCAGAGGGCTGCTCACCCATTTCACATTGTACACAGGAAGCAACATCGCCTAGAACTGCAGCTGGACTAACTCGGCTATGGCATAAATTGATTTTGAAAACTGATTTATTTTATCTAAAATTATTAGTTTATTGTCATAACTCCTGCATTATTTTCTGCTTAGCACAGGTTACACAAAATAAATTAGTGAAGTCAGCTCTGTTATGAACAGTGGTGTCACATTTCACTCCAAATCTATTTTCCATAGAAGAAACAATGTTTTTTTCATCTTGCAGTAAGTAAATTCAGCCTGATCTGGTGACTGTGTCATCATGTAAAGCAGGTTATGAGTAACACACAACAGTTCAAGTCATGGGAACACATCCTCAGGGTGTAAGTAATCACTTGTTCACCAGGGCTTTGTGTATTCTTGAAACAACTTCAAAATTAGGCAGGAGCGCAGCGGCCTGGGCCAGTTGGGGAAGCTGCGTGTAGGTGGAGGTCCGGAGGTACTGAAAAAGGTCCTGGAAGCTGTGGAAATGAGGAGTGAGGTGAGGTGGCACACCCAAAGACAGCCCCAGCTTCCTCAAAACGTAGATGTGGTTGGGAGAGTCGAGCAGCAGGGACAAATCCTGGATGGTGTCGTAGCTCAGCATCTCGATACTCTGACCTGAACGGATTCAGAACTTGCAAAATAAGAGCTCAGAATTTAAAGACCCAACTGGAGAATATTTAGATCTTTTTATAGTGTAAGGTAAAGCACGTACCTTGAGCAATCTCCCATATTGTCTGCAGTTTTTGCTCCACCTAATGTTGATATAGTAGATGAAGCATGATTACTCATTCGTTTATTAACTAATGAATATATTTGATCACTGATGCTAACAGTAATTAAATACATATACAATGATTTAGAATAAATTAATCACTTTTGGCAATTATTTTAGGAAGGGGACAATATGAAAAATTTCCACTAGATTTAATTAAAAAACAAGGTACTATAAACTACCCTTTATGCCACAGGATACAACTTTTATAAAAATATGTTTAGTTCACAATTTTTGAGATAATTGTCATCGAATTTTCTAATCAATAATTGATACAGACTCAACATATGCTCTTTTGCCGACAGATCATTACAGTCAGAGCAGTAATTAAACCAAAAGTGTACAAAAAATATACAGACTTTACATTTAGGCAACAATAGAAATATAGGTATACATAAAATAAAAAATAATGGGGTTTAAAAAACACCCTTTGTAAATATGTTCTACCCAAAACTTGATCATTTGTAGCATATTTTGCAACAAACAAAGAAGCATTCACTAAAGGACTGCTTTGTTGTTGCATTTTAGGCATTTCTTATATAAAAAAATTAAATAACTTATTTGTTCATTTGCATTTTTAATGCATTTTTAAGATTGTATAAAATTAGCTCAAGTCGTTAAATGAAAAATCTTCAAAAAGTGGCAAGTTTTTTTTATCCAATTAATTGATTGGTTGGCAGAATAACTGATTACTAAAATAATCGTTATTTGCAGCTCCACTATGTACTTCAATACATGAAGAAAATTTCTTTAAAATCAACTTTAAAACTAAGGTTTGAAGAAATGCTCAAATCTTAAGACACAGAGCGCTCAGCAAAGGTCTCAGTGTTGCTGCTGCAAGATTCTCAGAAAATGAGGAAAAGAAAACAAAGTACCTCCTCTGTGGTGAAGCCTTTCTGTGCTTCCTGCATGATGTTATCTTGCTTCTGACTGCAGGGCTTGATGTTGGTGGTGACATTAATCACGATAGAAGTGGGGTGCATCTCACTCTCATGGTTCAGTGAGTTTGGACCTCTGGGTAGTTTAACATTTTAAAAAATAGGACATAGATTAAATACATAAAAGGTGTTCTTTGTTCCAGATTTCACAGAAAACATACCTTGGTGTGTCTTCGGGTGAAACGGGCTCTGAAGGACGGTCTTGTTGTGTTGCTCTCTCTGCGTGACCGGAGGGACATTCGTCCTGAAGGTCTGCTGCAGACAGTAAACCTTCAGGCTTTCGACGGCACTCAGGAATTTGCTCTGAACAAAGAAACATGTTTAGAATCTCACTTTTATCCAATAAAACAGTAGATATGGATAAAATGCTGATAATCTAACTTACTGAATCTTTTTGCAGTCAGGAGGAGAATCCAAAGTAACAGAGAAATGAGAAAAAACAAGGACGCTATTGCAGCGCTGATAAAGACCACAGAAAGATTTTCCTCTTTTATTCCTGAAAGAAGAACAAGAAAACATGCAAAAAAATTTAAAATATGTTAAGAGTTCAGGTGGAAATTTACATGAATTCATCCAGGATACGAATATCCTGGTATTTTGGAGATTTGTGGATAGATTTGAACTGTTCTTTTTGTACTGAACAATAAGGTTATACAATTAACAGCATTATTGAATTTTAAAAACAATGAATTAACGAAAATGGAGGACTATTCAGTCAACATGTGATTGCAGGCCTCATGTGGCTTTTTGTCAGGCAGAGTGAGTATTTACTGGGCTTGGAGTCACGATAGACTTCTGGTCGGGTCCATTTACAACTCATATCGGCAGCGTATTTTCTGGGTCTCACATAGGTTCAAATCGTACAACAAGTCAACATTTTACCCCGAGTTGTCCTGCATCAAACATATATAGATGCTGTTAACATGGGAGCAGAAAACAATCTCTGAAGGTTAATTTTTCTATTTATGTAAATGTTGGTTGGGTACCTTCAAATAATTTAATTGCATCTCACTTCATAAGATAGCCTGTTGAAATCCCAACAGGATTAAAGAAAGTTCACAAAAATTCCAGCTTGTGCACCAAAATCTTGTTTTCAGACATTTAATTCATTTATATTTGTTGTATGTTTATTACATTTTGATGAAAGCTATGGCCATTTTGGCTTTCATGTAAATTTCTCTCTGGATCTCTATGAAGGTAAAGGTAATTTTATTAATATAGCACATTTTCAGCAACAGGGCAATACAGGAATTAAAAGGAAATGCAAACAAAATAACAAACTGAAGGAAAGAGCAACAGAAGAAAAAGCTAATAACATTCATCCAAAGTAAATAAACTAGATACTCTAATTCAGATAAGAATAAGAAAGTATTCACTGGTCTCATTCATTTTCCGGTTTTGAAGAATAGAGGTTTAAAAAGTAGTTGCCAAGTTAGTTTTTATGGGTTCCAAGTTCTAATCCCTGTTCTGGGATGCTAAATAATCTCTGGATATATATAAATATTCAATTACCATTTACTGTTGATTCTTCTGACTTTCTGACTGGTGACATGATGGCACTCTCTGTCAAACAAAATAACAGTTTCAAGAAATCACCAATAGATGCAGAAACGTCTGCACAAAGTTTTGTGTTGTGTCACTGGTTTATCTTTGGGTCTTACGTGTTTTTGAGCCTCGGGACGTAAAGTGCAAACACTCTTTGTGGAATGTGTCACGACTGTCACAAGGAATACACAGCAGCTCCACCTCCCCTGTCAGGCTCTTCAGCTCATAATGTCTGCACACCATAACACATACAGTGTATATCAGCTGAAACTAGGGACAAAATGTGACTGGTGTTTTCTCTGGCGCTGTGAATGGGACTAACCCTGGGAGACAGTGCCCACACACAGTGTCGCTGGTGGGTGAACAGGCAGTCAACGCCAGGCGGTTCAGCAGATTGCACTGGGTGCATCTCCTGCAGGGATCCACACCTGCATCTGTGCTGAAGGTCCCCGCTTCACAAGGAATACACACTCCATCCCCTCCATAGCCAAAGCCACAATCCTGAAAGTGATATATGGTGTAGATTTAGTGTCATCAGGTTTTATAGGAGGAAATGTTTCTGTGAAATAGCTTTGCATTACCCCTGACAGCTGTTGTCCAGGTTTACAAACAGGGCATGCAACACAGGAGCCATTATGGTGTAAGAACTCCGTCTGATCACATCTAGGCTCAGATTGCACCTATGCACACAAAGGAGGGGTATTAATTATAGGAGTTTAGAAACAAGTAGGTAAGACTATAAGCCAAATCAATCCTTTCTATCATTTCAACATCATTAAATACATTTATAGAGCTTTGCAAAAGATTTGCTTCCTGAAGTTTCTTGCATGTTTTCAACTATAGCCACAAACACAAAGAAATTCATCTTTCCCATGTAGAAGGATAATAAAGAATGGTTAAGATTTATTTTTAAATGTATTTTTCAAAAAGTGTTGCATGCTATTCAGTTACCCAGTTCCCTCCTTGGAACACATGCACCCCTAACCAGTTTGCACAACAAAAACTAGGATGTTTTGGCCACTCGTCTTTTCAAAATTGGATGGAGATTATACATTTTCAAGTCTGTTACATTAACATACGTTTTCTAGGGTCAGTGTACTGCTTTAACGTGTTATGGTCTCCTTTAAAAGACCTTAATCCAACTCCTTGATCCCCCTCAGTTTATAGAAGTTCTGCTGGGTAATGAAATGTTCATTTTATTAAGTTACGCTTAATGTGTTCGCTATTTCAGTGTTTCTCAACTTTGATCCAAAGATTCAGTTGTGTTTCCTTTTTTAGGTGTTTCCCTGTTCAAGATGTTCTGCAGAAAATCCACAAAATACTAACACAGTATTTAGGAAAATTATGCACTGTGCCATCATATTTAAGTGACAGTGAAAAAGGAAAGTAATAAAATGACAGACATACCATCAATATGAAAGAAGCTCCAATCAGAAATGTAAACATGCCCCTTCTTTATTGTGTATGTTCCAACTTGAGGAAACACAACCTTAAAAATGGTTTCACGTTAAACTAAAACAAAAACAACACATTCTGAGATAGAAAGTCGAATGGATTAAAAATGTCAAACACTTACGAATTTTTGGATGTCTGTTCAATATCTTCCCACCTTCTGTGTTTGTCCTGATCTCTGAGTTTCTTAGAGGAGGAATTCAAACAGTGGGAAAGATCTTTGGGAAATCCCACCGCTCTACCTCACCTGTGACGCAGGAGGGGTTCCCAAGCAGGGTAATCTTAGACCACTGAATACAAGTCCCCCAGATGGGGCACTTCACGTCACAAACCCTCTCTCACTTTACTCCTGACCACTGAGACGAAAAGGGAAGGGGATAAAAATAGATGAATGAGTTCCTTGTTAGCGGCTCTTAGCTCAACAAAGAGGCTTTGTTTGTGTCAGAGTGTGACCCCATTTCTGGGGTCAAATCTTTGATTCTGTTGCAAGCAACACCTTGGTAAAGCCTGGGCTCCTGGTGTGGATGACAGAAAAGTTCATAAACTCTTTCAATACAAAAGGTTGCAATGCAAGGTTTGGCCACTTGATGGGAGTATCGAGCAAGAAAAATGGAGAAGGAGGAGGAAAAATTACTCAAAGTTACCTTTTGCTTAAAAATATACCTTTCTGGTTAGAAAACATGAGTGTAACAATTCTGTTAATACACACTGATTGTTAAATTGCTTCATTGTTGTGATGATCTTGGCCTGCCTTCAGTTCTTTACAGCTGAAAGCCATTGGACATGTCACTGAAAAGCCAATTAGGTTTGTTTGGACAGTTATCGCTTGAAGATAAAACTCAAAGCACGAGAGTATTAAGCTGAACTCATGACTTGATAAAACCTACACACAAACACACGCACAGGAGCACATAGTAACATCCGCATGATGTGGGCGTCACTATGACTAATGACACAAATGAAATGACAAACCATGTTTTCTGTTGCTTTAAGTCATGTATTTGCAGAAGCAGTTGAAACACTTACAGGTTTGTTGTGCAACGAGATGCAGAGATATATTGTCGTCGCACCAACTGCAAATTTTCAGCTTTGACTTTTATTCACAACTTTTATGCAACATCAAAACTATTAATTTCTTTTGTTTGTTTAATGAAGTTTTTTGTCAAACAATAGCATGTTTGTTGGTTAATTTTATTGCTTGTGATTAATGAGTAACTCCAGAAACTAAAGGGAGTGGGTGTGGAGATGTGCTCATAGAGTAATAAAGGAACAGTTGCCAGCTGTCATGATTCACACAGATTCTCACTTGATAAGTGAAGTGAGAGCTCATTTTCTGGCAAAACGCTTCCTTAGAAAGTGAGAACGTAATGGTAAGTCTCATTTTATTTCACTCAATTTAGTTATCCTAAATTCTTTGCATGCTATTCTTTCTTGATGAGAAGGCAAATGGATAAAACATGACAGGTTTTCCTGCTCTTTTAATGCAGATGAACACCTGAGTGCTGAAGAAGTCCCAAAATTTTGTTTCAATTATTGCTGTCATGACGTCAATGAGAAGCTTAATTTTTCTGATCATCTGTTTGTCTATATTGATGTCACTGTGTCCTCTAAATTCAGGTAAGATTAAATAAATTGCCCAAAGTAGCACCTTTGAAGTATGATGTCATGTATATGTTTTTATGAATTAAAACAAGTGAATTGAGTGCTTAGAAAAAGTATTTTTTAATGTGTCCTCAAATGTATTTATTACTCTGCAGACCAGGCTTTGTTTTGGAAATGACAACTTGAAGGTATCTTGATCAGTTCAAGTACATTTTATTTATCAAGTACATTTAATTTGACTAAAGGTGCTTCAAACAGAAATATAACAATAAAAACACTTAAAACAACAAATCAAGCTAATATAAAAAATTAAGGCTACACAAAATGAAGAAAATGGGAAAAAAAAAATTTATGAATTGAGAAAAGAAAAAGATCCTCGAGTAACACCATGAGCAAGAATAACGATCAAATTCAAAGTTATGAAAAGAAACAGAAAAGATCCTGTAGGATAACAGGAAAGACAATTGAGAGAGTGAAATTTAGATCTTGGAAATAAGATATTATTTCCAAGATCGTGAATCAACACAGAATAATAAACCATACTGAAAACTAAATTAAGCCCAAGGAGAAAGACGTTCGTGTGATGTTGTTAGATCAAATAACGTCTTTAATTTAACAAATATGAATTTGATGATAATGATTTTATGCCAAATAATGTGTTTCTTAAAAGTGGCAGATTGAATTGGTGAAGAAAGACTTGTGTGGCACATTTAATGATTGTTGATTTATGGTGAAATGATTGTCGGAGTGACAGGAGTGCTCACTTGGTACATTGCAGAGGTTTTGAGGAGTCACTGCTTTTATCCTGTATCATCTATGTCTTGTGTGATGCCTTGATAGTAAGAAATATTTTTAAAAATGACTGCTTTCAGAATATTTTTAAATCTTATGAGTTTTTACTGCTTTTAAAAAAAAAAAAAAGAATATAATATTCATTGTGCCATTAAATATGTATGCTACTTTACTGCACTAAATGTACAGGTTTATTTGTTGTCATTTGTTTTAATGTGTTGTTTGCCTGCATGCATTTAGAAAAATCACTCATTTTATTAATGTTTTCTGTATTTACAGATGTGTAAGTTCTTATATAACTATTTTGTTAATGTTCTACGTCGTCAGATGTATTCTGAGGTCAAAACTGTTTTTCTTTAAGTCTTCACTAGTCTTTTCTGTGCGTTTTTTCATCAGCCAACTCTGCCAGCACCAGTCTGTGGGGAAAGAAGTTGGAGTTTGACGGGCCTCCATGTTTGTGGCAGCTCCACCCGGAAGTGAGCGTTCCAGCTCTGACGGATCTGAGCATCTGCATTCGTTTAAAACGCACAAGTTCAGCAACATGGACAGGCTTTCTTTATAGATCTAAACAACGGAAAGAGTTGGGAATTGAAGGCAATAATTCACATTTAAAAATTTGGCATTTAGGAAAACAATACCAAGTACGTGAGGACCTCTCATTAAAGAAATGGTATTCCATCTGTCTCACATGGTCTGGTAAAAACCAGAGGCTGAAGGTGTACTTAAATGGACACACAGTAAAAAATCTAGGTTTTTATTCAGATGATGCTCAGCAACAGCTGGCACAAAACGGCACTCTCACTCTGGGGGTTTCTCACAATGTTCTCCCTAACGGTGAACTGAGGCCAGAGAGCGGGAACAACTTGCTTGGTGAGATAGGTTTGTTCAGGATGTGGGGGAAGGAGTGGAGCGCTGAGGAGGTGAGCAGCCTGGGCTGTGCAGACGGAGATGTAGTGAGCTGGGATCTGCGGCAGTGGAAGAATGACTGTCCTCCTGTCCCCGACAACAGTCTGACCTGTGGTAAATATAGGATTTTATTTTCACTGATATAAATGTTGATCTAAGTCTGTCTGAAACACTGTTTCTCATTTTTTCACTGTAATTTACTGGGACTGCAAGGGGGCAACATTTTTGAGCTTTTCTTCATGTTAAAGTGTTATTCCCCCATCAAAAATCATGGAATGTTGTCTTAATTCTTGGATACATGTTTGAGAAATCCTTTAAGCTCCATGGCAACCATTCAGTTCCTTTAGACTAGCCAGTAGCAATTAGCAAACACCTGGTGGCACATCTGCTGAGGTCATTACAGAAGCTACTTTGCAGTGAAACGCTGGTAAAACGTTGCTAAAGGGTTAACAGAGGAGCCATGTTGTGAAAACTTCCTTAAGGTGGAGTTTCAGAAAGAGCAGGAGTTTTTAAAGTGACAGATGCCCAAATTCAAAGTGTTAAATTACAAAGTAAAGTCAAATTTGATATATATATTGCATTTTTCTAACAATTCAAGTTAAGATCGTTACTTGATTGTGCCATAAAATGATGCTATGTGCTTGGAAAAACACAGTACTGCTCTTGTAAGTGAAAAACAAACAAAACATCTATTATAATGGTGAAATGGAGAAAAAGTTATGGTTTCAAAATGGTTTTTAATTAAAATATAAAAAAGTAACTCGCAGTCGGCCAGAAAATACACTTTGAAGTTTGTAGATGTAATGTGACAAAGTGCAGAAAGGTGCAAGAAGCATGATTACTTTAACAATCCTGCAAATCTACTGTTTGAAATCCCTATTTTGCTGACTTTGGAGTCAAAGAAGAAACATTCTGACTTTTCTCATTTTGAGGTTCATGACCCCATTAATGGATCTAACACGGTTCCTTTTTTTCTATTTTTAAGGCTGGTCTAATTACAAAATCAAAATGTGGGTGACCGCAACCGACCGCAACAGTCCTGAAAACTGTTCACTGGCTCTGGAAGGAATCACAAGAAACTGGGTACAAACATCTGCTGTCACACTGTCTTATCATGCATGTCGATACGGGAATCTAAATGTAAAGAACACATTTTCAACCTATTGTCAAATCTTATGCTCTGTTTTTAAAGTGCATGGAAGAAGAGTGTAAAATTGATGGAGTTTATGGTGTAACTAATAGAATGGAATAGAATAAAAACAAACAAATTGTCCCTCAATGGGAAAATGCACAGTCGCAAATGATTGACCAACTAATAGGAGGTGAAATTTGAATAATCTGTCAGCAGATTATGATGGCCTTAAATTATTCAGATAATTATTATTACATGAATTACTGTGAAAGTCGATTTAGTTCTTTAGATAATGTTTTATCTAGAATCTAGTTTCTTGTGTAATCTCCTGGATTAGTTATTTATGCGCTCTTTGAGTAATTTTGGCAGATGTGTCACTCCTGGGAAGATACACCAACGATTTGTTAATAATGACTCTCACTGTTGTTCACTGGAGTCCCCAAAACTTATTTTTGTAAACATTTTCATGTTGATAAATTAGAAAATTTGTTTCCTTAAGTAAAGGCATGATTACTTTTTAAAACCCTTTAATGCTCCAGGTCATTAGATGGGTATTAATGAGATGATTTTTGGATTCTGCAAGTTTGAGAGTGATTAAGT